TTTTTTTTTTCATATGACATTCACGATATTATAATTATTATAACCTAAAAAAACTGATTTACACTTACTTACGACGCTGTAGTTAGGACAGCTGGTATTATAATATTATGTTAAGTATTAAACGGTGAACTATATTTAATTAAATATATTGTGCTTCTAATATTTTAATGCGTAAAGATATCTTGATTTTTTGATAGCAATTTAAATATTAGGTATATAGTATATTCTGATCATATGTTTTTATAACTATTTGAATATAATAAAGAAACCTAAACGTGATTTCAAGTATTGTTGCCTATTGGTATAGAATTGTGTTATAGCGGAACATTTTTTAATTATTGTTAACTAAAAGCTTGGTACAAATTTCATACGCTTCTACTTTCTTTTTTAATCTGGAATTCCTATGAAATCGGAGGGTGTGATGAGTTAATAAACGTTTTACTTGGAATTCAACCACTGGTTTTCAATATTTACAGACGATCTGTGCCATAGYAAACTATGCAAATTGCTACTACAGCACTTTAATATTGTAGTTTACAATATTATTATATAGGTATTGTCTTACCAAGGGCCATCACAAAACATAAAAAATAAATAATAATCAAATAAATAAAACGATAATCGTGTTGGTATAACGATATGTTGTACAACTGCAGTMGTGGTGTCAATAAACATAACGTCAGCTAGAGCCTGGGTGGTGATGGACGTGTGCCCGCGTGAGCTTGTCGCAATGTATAGTTGTGGTCGGTCGTTTTCGTGAGTTAGCAAATCGTTTTCAGAAGCGGTGTGTCCAAAAGCAGAATATTATATTATGACGATAAAGCAAAACAATAAAAAAAAAAATCTGATGTAAAATATTAGACGCACTAGGTAAAAAAAAAAAAAAAATTTAAAAAAATCTATAAAACAAACTAAAACAAAATGATGGCCCAATAAATAGTAGCTTTTTTGATTATAGCGATTAATTACTTTACTATAATATATTCTATAGACATTATTATTATATAATTTCATATTTTCATAAAATATTCGGTTAGTTGGAATGATTAACAAGACAAAAGGACTGAGATTATGAGGTTTGAACTCGTATAGTTTTATCTGACACATAACAATTTTAAATGTACTGAAATAGAAATTTACTCAGAACTGAGTATACTGGTGGCATTTCTCGTATACATTACGATTATTTAGTACATTATGTTTAAACATGATGCATATATGTTTTTTTTTCTTTATGTAAAAATAAAACTATCCGAGCTCGAAACAAATTGAAATGACAAAAACATGTTAGTTTGATAAAAAAATTATTTATACTATATTTATTGGGCATTTAAAATTAAATATATTTTTTTTTAAATGATAAATAAAACATTAAAATAATAATAAAAAATCGTGCTAATCGTATACAATATCTGTGTGAGTGAAATGATATTATAGGCTATAACTTAATTTAAAAAAATACATTTACAATTTTGATGAAAAAAAAATATTTCATAATATTATGAGTACACAAATAGGATGTTTAGTAACTGTACAATATACTCTTCAGCCGCGTTAAAATGTAATGAAGCTCTTGGCACTTAACCAACTGTGCCGTCAAAAACTGCACTTTATTTTATAGAATTTAAATATTTCAAGAACAAACACTTATAAAACATAAAATTATTCTTAGAATAAATAGTAAAATATTAATTTTTTTAATTTATTAAAATAATTTATTAGTTTTAAAAAAAATCGATATTTATTAATAATAATAGAATGTATGTTATAAATATAATCTACTTAAATAACGATTGTAAAGTGTGGTTCGTGTTCTATCGAATTTGAATTATAAATATAGTAAATACTTGGAATACATATAAGTATAACGAGAAAAACAAGATCGACTAGGGAGGAAGACTAGATTCGTTATCGAATATCGAGGTGGATATTATAGCTAATGACTAGAAACGTTTGAAGTGTGTATAGTATTTTTAAATCATTAATATTATTAAATTAAAAAAAAAATGATAGTAATAAAAATAACATCAATAAATCGCAATGTTTTTTTTTATGTGTTATGCGCAATATGTGAGTGTGTTTAAAGCGTTGGGTAAAAAAAAAAAATGTCAAGTCTTGTGTAAATTGCTCGTTTTTCATTTTTTTTTTTTCAAGACGAGACACAACCACCACCGCCACCGAAATATGATCGTGTCAGGGGTGCCGTTTACCACATTAACGAGAACCGTTTTTTTTTCGGCACATGGTTAACGGAGATTTTCTTTAGGCACGTGCTGGCCACATTTCTTCGCGGTTTAAACAAGTTTACCTGTAGGCCGACTTTAATACGTTTGGTCAGCGCTCCCTGCGGGAATACCGCCTGCACCTGTGGCACCACCGTCGACGAAACCATGCCGCCTTCCGGTCCGATGGCGTGTACCTCTTGTTTGACTCTGGACACGATGGCAAAGTAATGCGGAAACTCCGTCGTCACKATCCTCGTCAAACGGTTACCGGAATGCCACGGGTCGCGGTCTGCAAAAACGAACACGAGTAAAATGGTAATATTTTTGTTCGTCTACTCGACGTGTAAAATAGTTGGAAAATTCA